TATAAACTATCCACTTTTCGTCGCCAGTAATCAGTCGTTTCAGAAATGGATCAATCTTGTTGCGTTTCAGAAGCGAATTGCAGATGCTAATGCGTTGCGTCAAATGAATTTCCTTAAGCTGATGAGGAACCCATAAATCCAGTTTCTTGACATAGCCAAGCTGTTTCAATTTTTTTTGAATGCATGTATGTGATCCATTGAGCTTCTGTGCAATCTCACGAGTTGTGCTATGACGATCTGAATCGATAATTGCCTTGATATGGGTCTCATCAACTTTAACTGGATGGCCAGATCGTTGAGCATTTTTCAGTGAAAAATCACCAGAACGAAATTCGGAAAACCAATTTTGACACTGCCTTTCTTTCAAGGCTTCATTCCCATATACGGCACATAACTTCTTGTGTGCTTGTGATGCGTTTTTGCCTTTTCGGAAATAATACAATAAAATATGTCTGAAATGCACGTCTTGTTCTTCCATTTTTAAATTAGGATAAAAACGAAACTAAATAACTAATCAATACAATTTTTTTACTAAATTAAAGGGTGGAAATCCAAAAAACAAGAAAACAATATAGATTAAATGCTTTGAACACGATGACTCAGCAAAAAAAAATGTGCTAAGGCCACCTATTGACAAAATCCGCAATCACTTAGTTGCCAACCCTATATAATTATTGTTCTGAGGAATGTTACTTGTACTGACCCACTTTATCATACAGCAGTGTGGAGAGTTTCAGATAAGGAATGATAAGCCTATATAAAGAGTGCATGATGTATCTAGTGTTATCAAGTTAGATTTTCTACTGAATCTAATAGTCCTAGATGGTTTTCCCCTTCTCTGTCTGTAACTGTGGCAAAGAATTTAGATTGGCAAGTCTCAAGTTAGAACATATTAAATTTATGCATTTGGTTTTCTGTGTAGAAACTTTATCTTTATATTTCTAATATTTTCAGTAATTGTTGCCAAAATTTATCTAATTTCTACTAAAACATAAGATGTTTTGTATTTTTGAAGATAAAAAGGAAAATAACTGCAATAAAATGATTGCATTTAAGCTTCCAGTGTGTTTTCACTGCACATGCAGTTTGAACTCCAAAACAAATTTTTGTCAAATTTAGCTTTCAAACTCTGAAGAATGCAATTGATTATGCACCCAAGTTGGTTTAAAAAGTTTCATTCTAGAAAAAATAAAATGATTTACAAATAAAAACTTATTTAGTGAAATAGTTATTGAAAGTGAAATGTTACTTTGTTATTTTTCTTTTTCTCATTGAAAATTAGTAAATTCTGAACTTTTTTTCAATGAAAAAATTTTGAAATTTTAAAATACTTTTGTTTTGTTGGAAAAAAAGGAAAAAATGATATATTTCTATTCTCTCTCTTCAAAAGAAGTTGTCTTAGATATTTTAATATAGTTTTCTGAAATACAAAAACTAGGCTGAAACAATTCTTTTATATAAAACTTACTACTGTTGACAAAATAATTTTTGTTAATTTCATAAATTTTTATTTTATGTTGTTATTTAAAGATTGTTCATACACTTGTAAAATTCTTAATTTGGGATTTTATGCTAACATACTATCAGTTATTTTACGTATCCTTTAATATATGTATGCTAAAGATAAGAAAAATTTCTCGGTTATTTAATCATAAACATTTATTAAATTAATACAATAAATTAAATGCATATTGTAGAATTATTTTAGATAAAAATTTCAATGCATTATCTTAATATTTTCTTTTAGGTTCAAGACATTACATTTTCTCTAGATAGTCGATGGGTGGCGGTTAGTACACTTAGAGGCACAACACATATATTTCCTATAACTCCTTACGGAGGTATATAATGAAATATTTTAACTTATATATTTATATTTTTCTGTGTTTAATATTTAACTCGTTATAATATAAGGACCTATAAGTGTGAGAACGCATACATCTCCTCGTGTAGTAAATAGGCTTAGTAGATTTCACAAGAGTGCTGGTCTCGAAGAGAGTTATTCGTCACCATCGACTGGGAGGAATAGTCCAATTCCTTCAGGCAGTCCAACTTCTACAGGTATATAATTTAAATTTATTGAAATTAAAAATATATAGTAAGTAAGCATTTGAATATTGTTATATATTTTAGGTATATCAATTGCTCGGACTTGTGATTCACATCCGAGTGTCTTGTATCAGACCACTATTTCTGGACGAATGGGAAATCCTCGATTACCTCCGTATCCTCATCCATTAACAATCTCTGCTCTAGCTCAAGTGAGACAACCACATAGTTTTCCACTTCCGAGCACATCTCAGTCGAAAAATTCTCCTGGCAAGGATAGAAGTGGAAGGCGTTTGTCTGGTAGTTTAGAAAGCATGAATGTAGTCTCCATATTTGCTCCGCCAAGAGCCTGGTTGGTTGGTAGTCCTAATTTAGCACGTGACAAAAGAGGTAAGGAAGTAAAAAAAATTGTAAAATTATAAAGTTTATGCTATATATAATACATTTTGAAATTCAATAATTTGAAAACAAATTATAGAAATGAAAAGTAGCATTTAAATAGTATTTTGTAGTTTATAAGTTATAATTACTAGATGATCATCCAATATTACACAGTGAACTTTTTTAGCAGTTTGGGAGTATAGATCATTTTTGGTCATCCACTTTGTGATTCATTAATTGAGCTCAAATGACCATGCTTAAATTCTACAACCTGATTCTTAACCATTGAAAATGAAAAAATAGACTCTGAAAGTGTCAAAATCCAACTTTGCTTTGATATCAGTTGGCGAAATCAAAGAAGAACCGTTTTAGATGAAAGTAATTTATTGTCATTCATAACTCAATTTTTTTGTTTACAAAAACAATCCAGATGTGTATTTTGATAAATTTCAAACAATAACTGTTCATCTATACTAATATTATAAAGAGGTAATGTTTGTATGTAAGTAAGTTTGGATGCAGCAGGTAATCTCCAAAACTACTCATCCGATTTCAAAAATTTTTTCACCANAACACACCTGAAACTTTGCTCACCTGTACCTAATTGTTCAGGTTGAGACAAAGTTCCAGGCACACTAGGGACACATTTTTAAAATAAATATATATATATATGTATACCTACAGGAGCACCTATAACTGGAAAAAAAGAACTTCGTTAAAATGTGGATACCTTAATATATGTATATATATATATATATATATATGTTACTGTGAATGACCGATATCTGGCAAATGTCAACATTCTCCGGTGAATGTCAGCATTCACATTCACACAGTCGTTTCGTGTATGTACGAATATTTGCTAAATATCATCATTTCTCACTTACACCGGCAAATGTCGACATTTGGCATGCACTGATGGTGAACGTTGAATAAAAATATTTTTATTACGTTAACACAAAAATGCAACTTTTTAATATGTCAAAATAGGAGAAAGCTTAAGTAATAGCACATGTAAAAAAACTGTTGAACCTAAAATGAACAGTATGTTCTAAATCATTAAAGAAAATAATACAATAATAAACTTACAAATAAATTGTGATGTGACAAATAAATTATGTGAAAGAAAATAAATCATTAAAGAAAACTTACAAATAAATTATGTGATTGACGTTGTACAATCATATTTATTGCAATAACTTAAACTGTTATGGCACTTTGAGTTCCTTGCTTTTACAACTGCATTTATTCGTGGAACACCTCTTTTTGCAATGACAGCGTGTACAGTTGACCACCCTATAACACTGTAGATAATTCTGTGTTATATGAATTCCATGTTGTACGAGTCACTTAGATTTTACAAATACGTGAGCTGTTCACAGTCCGGCACACATATTTGTAAAATCTAAGTGACTCGTACAACATGGAATTCATATAACACGGAATTATCTACAGTGTTATAGTGGGATCTACTGTATAGCCTTACCCTCCACTTTTCGAATTAGCTGTAACTGCTTCTCTCAGCGATATTTCTTGAGAAGAAATCTCATCTATGAAAAGTAACATTTCTTTACAAATTATGTATTGATTACGTTATTACGAATTGATCTGTTAATGGTGTCTTTTATTCAGATATTGACGACGCCTTACCGACGATCCCCTCTCATCCTCCGTTACTTGACCTGATTAACCGATCCCCACCTCACGGGATCAAAAGAACAAAAACACCATTTAGTGACAAAGTGGGCGATTTCCACCAAACCGTTGCCGGGAAAAGAGGTACGATCTTGTCTTACCTTTGACTACCTACAAAGGATTTGGCGACAGACTGTCGCCTCTCTGTCGACATCGGCTTTTCGGGTGTCGTTTCGACCTCCACCAAAGCTTATCTGTGCTTGTCGACATACACAAGCGATTGTTTGAATGTATAATAATATAACCAAATATTCGGTCTTTCACCGACATATTTTGTATGTGTCGACATTCACCGGAGAATATCGACATTCTCTAATTTCGGTCTTTCACAGTAACATATATAAATATATATATATCAATTAAAATTTCTATTTGACTGTAGTATTAATTATATTTTAGTTTAGTATAATAATTATGGATGCACTACTGACAAAACAAAAGAAAAATATTGGTATTAAATAGCATTAAATTGGAATAAAATCACTCCTGCTGAAAAAAACTTTTCATATTTTTTCTATGCAAAGAAGCAGAATGAAGAAAGTGTTTTCTGATTTTGTTCTGTTTTGTATAAAGTATGAGTTAGAATGGTCGTAGCCAACCTATAGCCTCCCAACAGGTTTTACTAGCACTATGTTTGATTAAATATCCAGACATATAATGTTTGTTTTGCAAGATAAAAATAGATATGTCACCATCACTATCAATAATTTCAATAAACAGTTTAGATTTGAAACATAATAACTATATGTATGAAGTTTTAAATATAGGGTTGGCAACTAAGTAATTGCGGATTTTAAGTAAGAAGGAAAATTCAAAATTTTTGCTTAAAAATATAACTTTATTCAATTAGGTATTGTCCATTTTTGTCAATGACCTCTTGCCATCTTTCAGGCAGTGTCATAATTCCATGTTCATAAAACTTCTGATTTTTGCCAGCAAAAAACTGAGTTAAGTGTGTTTTTACATCATCAGCGTCATGAAAAATTTTACCATTTAAGGAGTTCTGCATGGAACGAAATAAATGGTAATCTGAAGGCGCAACGTCAGGGCTATACGGTGGATGTGACAACACATCCCAACCTAGCTCCAATAATTTTTGCCAAGTGACCAAAGATGTGTGGGGCTTTGCATTATCATGCTGGAAAACAACACCCTTATGATTTGCCAATTCTGGCCGCTTTTCTTGAACT